AGCACCTTCAAGGTGTCGGTAAAAACCTCTGAAACATTGTATCGTGTATCGATTGTGAGTAGGTATTTTTGTTGACGTAACAGGTCGCGAGGCCGGCCGCTACAACCAGGTAGAGATATGCTGCTGTCGCCGTTCCAGCCAAAGCGGTCGCTGACGTCCGTCGTCAAGATGCGCCAGTCGCTCGAGTCGGACTTCTCGTCCGCCGTCCTCTTCCTCCAGACGTACCAAGGTACAGCAGCAGCGGCTACGACTAGCCATCATCGGCGTGTAGGGCCGCATGGCATTCTCAAGAACGCCGCGTCGCCCGTTCGCATCGCCTTGGACGCGCTCTTCCAGCAAGCGACGATCGGCGCGTGCACCACCGAGGCGCCGACCAACACGCTGGAGCTGGCGGCGTGGTAACGAATCGACAGTGCATCGATGCTTATACGGAGCTGGCAGGGAAAAGTGGCAGGCGCTCGGCGACCTCAGCAAAGAGCAGGCCATGCAGCAGTACATCAAGACGCTCGACGACCTCGTACTACTATGTGTTGCTGGCATCGATGATGGTATTGGCTGACAGAGTTTGTACAGGTCGACAATTGGCGCCGGAGTCCGAGCTTGCGCCGCGCGACGTCCGAAGTTGCGCCCGAGACGCCGCCACCGCTCATGGATCGCCTTCCAGCCTTTGCGCAGGAGCTTGATGTGATCAAGACCAAGCTCCAGACACAGGCGGCCGACCACGAGGCGCTGACGGACGCTGTCAACACGCTCACGCACGACACGGTGCGCAGCGTGATGGCCTGCAAGGTGCTACGGCAATGTAGAACGCCCATTTCTCCCGCGAGCTGCGGCAGCTGGACCTTGTCCGGACGCACACGACCGAGGCGCTCAAGGCGAGCGAAGCCCAAGTGCACGAACACAAGGTAGTACAGCCTAGAACGCATACGCAACCTCATGCTCTGTAGCTGGAGCTCGCGCTGCTGCGTGAAAAGCACTACCAGCTCCAAGCCATTGTCGAGCGTTCCTTGGTCTTTCGCGCCGAAGAACTTGGTACGCGCGCACCTCGTGTCGCTTGATTAAGTTCACGGCGTGTGTCTAGTCCTGCAAACGTGGACGAGCGCAACGCAGTGGCTGCAGCTGCGCTACGTGCGTATGCTCCTCGTGTCGCTCTTCTTGACATGTACGACCGCGCCCGACTTGAAATGCTCGACCATTGTATCAACTTGATAGTTGTGTGGCGCAAGCTGCTGCACCGTCGCCTCCCGCGCTTCATCGCTGATACGCTCATCGCCATCATCTCCAACCTGTCGGGCAAGGACGGCGAGTAGTGTACATACCGCGACACCCCTCGCCATGGAAGCAGATCGACTAGTACATACCTTGTGGCTCATCTCTCCGCTCTGGAACACGATCTTTTCCCATCAATCAGCCTCAGCGTCGTCCCAGTCGTCTTCCATCAGATCGGCAGTCTTCGACTACTACATGGCAGCAGGCTAGGGATAGCACACGGTCGACCTTGCCGTTGGCATCCACGAACGACGACGCCAAAAAAAAGAACACGGGTTCTATTTTTGTACCTCTACGAATCGATATACTGAGGTATTGCACTATAGAGGTTCCAAGTTGAAGTGATGGCCACGATCGCACGGCCAGTCGTGCCACCTGCGAGATACTACTGCACTCGACGCCGCTGCGGGTCTGAGAAGCGCGCGCCATCCGCACTGCTTCTGGCGCGCTTCTTATCTAGCACTTGGCAACCATCGAAAGGCAGCGTCAGCAAAAAGTTCTTGAAGATGGGACCAGCGCGGGGATGTTGAAGTCGTGGTCGTCGCATGGGCGTGCGCCCGCTTCTTTGATTTCGCTTGTTCGTGGACGCGAGCAAGAGAGGGGCTAGAAAAGGCTTTGGCGAGCCCCTGTTTAGTTAGTCGCGGCGCTAGTTGGTGGATGCAACCGTTACAGCAGCCGAAACCTCCATGTTTCTTTTTCTCCATTAAAAGACACTTTAAAAAACATGGATTATTTCTTCAATCCAAATAATATTCGTATCGTGGTAATGTCAGTACAAACAGCAAGTACAAGGGCCAGACGTGCGCATAAAATAGCGTGTGGTTGAACCGTGGATCGTTTTCGAAATTTCCTCGCATGTTGCGGCGGATCGCCATTTGCGA